TATAAAGCTAATGGTCTCAAAACATTTATGAAATGAAATAATTGTCCACCTCACAGAAAAACAGAATATCATAATAAATTTAAAGTTTAAATCAGTTGCCCCTTCTTACCATAAAATAATATCAACTAAATTAGCTAACGGAAATTTGTTTTGGGCCTTAGTGCAAAATTGCTAGAATATTTTATCTAAAAATTACAATACAAACGAAATATTTTAAATAAAATTTATAAAAAATGTATATAATAATCAAATATAATGTAAGTATAATGTATAAATTTATTAATGGAGGTAATGGCTGTTGGCTTGTTTTATTGGATTTTATCAATTGCGGCGTCTGTCTTTTGTGCATTTCGGCCATACTTAGGCTTCCCTTGCCCTTTCTTGCCTCTTCAGAATGACCGACAGAGAGGATCTGGTGTACCGAGCCAAATTGGCTGAACAAGTTGAAAGATACGATGGTAATGTGGCATGATTCGTATTAACTTTATTCACGCTTGCGACAACTACATAATGTATTTTGATCCTTCATGTTCTGCTTTTTGACAGAAATGGTAGAGGCTATGAAGCAAGTGGTTAAATTGGGGAATGAGCTCTCAGTAGAAGAAAGAAACTTGCTATCAGTCGCCTATAAAAATGTCATTGGTGCTCGCAGATCGTCGTGGCGTGTCATCAGTACGATTGAACAGCGCGAGGAAACTAGAGGAAATAAAGAGAAAATTCCACTTGTCAAAGCCTTCCGACAACAATTTGAGAGTGAACTCAAAAAAGTTTCCGTTGAAATTCTCGAACTACTTGATGAGTATTTACTTAAGCAAGCCTCTACACCGGAATCGAAAGTCTTTTATCTTAAGATGTACGTTCTTTTTTACAATATGACCTTCTTTCAGGAAAGGCGATTATTATCGCTATATGGCAGAATTCTCTGTCGACGCTGAGCGTGAGCAAGTGGCTCAGAATAGCTTAGATGCTTACAAAGAGGCTTCTCACATCTCATCTGTTGAACTTCCGTCTACTCATCCTATAAGACTTGGCCTTGCTCTCAATTTCTCTGTATTCTACTATGAAATAAAAAATTTACCCGACGAAGCGTGCAAGTTGGCGCGAACCGCATTCGATAATGCTATTGCCGAACTTGACAGCCTTTCTGAGGAAAGCTACAAAGATTCCACCTTGATTATGCAACTTTTACGCGATAACTTAACCCTTTGGACTTCAGACATTGACAATGAAGGTAAGCCTCACTTTTATTTTATTTT